GAATGCAATCACAGGTCTCTTACAATCACTTCAAACGTCATTACTTCAACTACAGAATCATTTCCAATCCAGTGATTGAAAAAGCTTTGCTCTTAAATGTTTCTAGTTGAAATGGACCCATACAACACCACAGAAAATCCCTCACCCTGAACATTTGTGCACCATGTTCCAACCAAATAAGCACTTTTATTTCATTCATATTCTATCCTTCACCTTGCTTTCTCTCTCCAGCTCTCCTCTCAACCACTCAAAGTCGCTGTATCTCCTCCGGACACGTGACTCCTTCAGCTTGAAGATGGGGAGGTTTGTCTGGGGAGAACATGAATGGACAAACAACATCTGAAACAACACGTCCATCTCAGATTTAGGGAAAAAATTTAAAACAGGCCCACATTTTTAAATAAAAGTAGTTTGAAAACCATGTTAAGACTGACGGTGTAGCTGAACAGCTTCATTATTTCAATAACACCAAGTTCAGTATTAGAGTAAAGGATTAAATAAATAGGTAGAGTCCACAAAAAGGCCCGAGACACTAAAACAGGGTCAATGGAGAAGCAGATATTTATGAAATAAAAGAACAGCCTGATGACAGTATTCAAGGAGAAGCTGAAGAGGCAAAAGGCAGCGTAAGTAACAAACACACAGACGGGAATAAAAGTCCAGATCAATACTCCTACACAGGCTGATTTGCTCGACGCAGACTCAAAAAAGATGAATACATGGTGGACGAGACAGTAAGTTAAATGAATAAATGAATGTGTGCTTTGGGGACAAATTCTCATGTGGGCCCTAACTGGACAAGAAGAGATGAAATGTTCATCGATCCCCAGTTATCCCCAGACCCTTTCTTTTTCCATTGATCATTCTCTCCCTCCATCTCTTCGGCTGCTCCAAGTCAGGTTTTTAGCCTTGAGAGGGTCCCTTCAGAAAGTGTAGATCTCTCTTCACAATGAGGAACACTGATGAAATACCCACCACTTCAGCTTCCCCCCTCTCTATTTTTCAAGTCTTTATCCAACTCTGCTTGTTTCCACTCTCTATCAATCTAACTCAAATCTTCGTTTTTCTTCTTGTGTCTCCGTAAATAATGTTTCATTGTAGATGTGCTGATTAATTTTATACTTGTCATGGTATTAGAAGACCAATAATAAAGTCAGCAACATAAAACGAGTAGTATTCAGCGAAGTCATGTGATCTCAAAATGATCACCCCCACAAGATGACCCAGTCCAGAATAAAACATTTTTTTTAGACAAGTGATACGGCGTGAATAATTACTATGCAAGTCAATGGCTACCGGCAAACATAAAAAATAAAATAAAAATAAATAAATAAATATCTTACCGACCCCAAACTTTGTAACTGTAAAGTTAATCAAAAAGGATAATTCACCCAAAAATAAATATTGTCATTATTTACTCACCCTCATAATATTATATAATAATAACTATATATATATATATAAAAAATAAAAAATAAAAAAAAGTCTCTTTATAACCATACAATGAAAGTCAATGTGGTCCAATCAAGAAGTTGATTCTCATAGCATTCTGCAACAACATTAGGGTGATTAAACAATGGCAGTTTTTTTTGTGGGGGGGGGGAGGGGTAAGCTACTCTTATAAGTTTGTATCTTACAATCATACCTTTCACGTCCTCACACAACAATGTATTCCTGTGATCTCCAGTACCATCTGCATTTTTGATCCAGGCATTTCCTCAACCCACACGGTCATATGAGATGGGGATTATCTCAATAGCTTTGAGAGCATGGTAACTGCAGTGCCGAGGAAGCGTTAAGTAGTAACCTCGCTGAGGTGCTCGATAATACTTTGTGAATGGTTGGACCACTGGGTTTACGTTCTAAGTAAGGAGGTCAAAAGAAGTTAATCCCAATTGATCACAGTAACAGTTAATTTAATACACACACTCATGACAATAACGTCATGGTTTCAGGACTATTATATGGTGCACAGACAAACCAGATGAATTGTTAGTTACAGTTATTGAACAGGATTAGTTCTTATGCCAAGGGTGAAAGCCCATTTATCTTGAAAATGTCTTAAAACACACACATAGAAATATAAAGACCCATGAAGGTGTCAATTGGTCAGGTTCTCGGTTTCTTATTGCACTCTACAGCTTCAGTATTGTGTTTACAAGGTTAAGCAGGTTAGTAATTTCTTTCTCTTACTTGCAAAAGAAAAATGTCAGCTTTACATCACCTTCTAACAAAGGAGCTATTTTGAAGTCATTCAGGCCAGGGCACAGGACGTCAATGAAAACGAAAAACCAATGCTCAATAGTAGAAAGCCTATGGATGTTGATGATAATTATTAATATTATGTTATTAAACTTTGTAACGGCACTTAGTCAAAGGACAAGCTGCAGCTGGCCAAAATGTATTACTTCTGTGGCACTACTAGCAGTACCAGTAATAAAATTGCAAAAATAATAACTTTATCTGAACAGGCTTGCCAAAAACACTCCCTGTCTGGTAGTACCACCACCAGCTCATACGACTGGTCAGATCAAAGTTGCCAAACAAAACGCAAAGCATTCAAATGCCTTACTTAGAAAGCTATCTCTGTTAGACCAAATTTCTAGCATTTTAATACCAAAAAAAAAAAATTGTTATGTAGCACTTTGACATTGTTACAACATTTATATTTTGAAAAAATGCTATCCTTTTAAACTTTTCATCAAAGAACACTGAAAAAATAAATATCATGGTTTACAAAAATATTAAGCAGCACAAATGTTTTCAACATTAATAAAAGTGAGAAATATTTCTTGAACCTCAAATCAGCATATTAGAATGATTTCTGAAGGATGACACTAAAGACTGGAGTAATGACTGCTGAAAATTAAGCAGTTTGAATGTGTAGAAGTGTCCAAAATACAAAATTTCTGAAGAAAATTGGGAAATTGCCTATTCAAAATTCACCACCATGATGACAGGTCTTGCGGTTAGTTGCCAGGGTATTGCTTTGCAGTTGCTAGGGTGTTCTGGGTGGCTGCTTACTGACACAAGCCACAAAAAACCTTAACTCCTTTCCCTATTTCAATGCGAGTCAACAGGATTTGTTTGTCTGTTCAATCACTTGGTAGCCGAAAATTGCAAGTCTGACCAATTAGAAAAGTAACATTAAACAACAAGCAGCATGATTAATTCCCTAGTGCAAACTTCACAGGAATAGTTACACACTGAAGTTTACCACTTAGGGTTAGGGGTTTGTTCAAATCCCTCACCTTAAGTATGAGCAACAGTAATAGTGATGCTTGCAAGCACCACTAATTACACTTCAACAAAAATGCTGCAATGGGAGCAGTGCTGTATTTGTGTGTGTGTGTGTGTGTGTGTGCGTGTGTGTGTGCGTGCATGTAAAGAGAAAGGAGGGGTATGTCACACTGTATACAGCTGCAGATGTAAACTCTGAAGAGTTTGACTGTCCTCCCCTCACTGCTAATGATCTCAATCAAACCTGAGACAAGCAAACAAAACAGCCCAACAAAGGGCCTGATTACCGTGGCAACCAAAGTTAACCACACAGACGGAAGCCCTTACACATCAAACACTCAATAAGCAGATGAAAACAGCCCAATTCATTAAGACAGCAGCCTTGCGCTGCGGCTAAGACGGGGCTTTTCAAGAGGTCCATCAATACCTGTGAGCGTACTGATGAGTGGAGAACGGTATGACATGATTAAATCGCAGGTAATGAGACAGTGTTACACGATCAAATGCTTAGAGACTCTCTGATGGCCAGCTATGCTCTCTTTGGTGGTTTTTATGTTAATTCCATAAGCTCCGTGTGATATTTAATGATGTCTGTATTTTAATTCTCTCTAGACGCCAAATAACAGGACCTGCTACAAACCAAGCTTTCTTGTCATGAAGCATAACACTGTGACAAAACCAAGAGTGATGTGAATCAGAGTTTTTGGCAGTTGCACTGCAAAAAAATTTATAAAAAAAAAAAACCTGTAAAAAAAATTTGAAATATTCCGGCAGCTGGGTCACCAGGAAAAAAAAAAAGGGTAAAATAATGGAAACCGGAAATGGAAAAACGGAAAATAATTGGACGTTAAAACAATTGTGAAATAACGGAAAAATACAGTAAATTTTCAGCAATTAAAATACAGTTAGTTCCTGTAATTTTAATCAAAATATTAAAAAGGCCATAATGCTGTTCCATCACATTTATTACTTGACATTGAAATATTACACTCTCACATTTTTGTGCACAATTTTTACAGAATGAGCATTAAATATTGTATAACAGTGTGTCGTCATTATAGCAGGATGCATATGGAGTAATTTCACATTTTCAAAAACAGTATTATTTACTGTAACTTTCATACCATGAACATTTTATCACATAGATTAAATGTACAATTTAAACATTCTTGAGAATCAAGAGAATCATTCTTGAGAATCTTGAGAAATAACAGAGCATGTGTCAAGGGCCTGAAAGTCCATCTCCTGGTTTAATGATCTATTCAGGTTCAACTTGAACAAATGGAAATGTAAAGCATATAACACAGAAATTAAATGCTCACAACACAGACATCATATGGCTTTGACAATCAAGGTATCTGGTCACATCACTGAATACTACGGGTGTATAGGTACACAAACATGAGGGTTCGGTACGTACCTTGGTTTTTGATGTCACGGTTCAGTACAGTTTTGGTACAGCAGGGGGGAAAACTAATATGTTTTATTTAATTTTTTTATTAAACAGTGGTTTACTGAACAAATTGCTCTTTCTTTAAACAAACTCAGTTATAATACATTTTCTTAGGGATAAAAATCTACTTCGGCATACACTCTAAACTATAGTGAGCCCTTTTACATTAGGTCTACTATAAGGTTACAGTTCACAGAGCCCAAACTTAAATTTAATTACCATTTATTTTTTAAATATAACAAGCACCACTCAACTTAAAAAAATTTATGCAATCATGTAAAACGCACATAATGACGTTTTTAAATTAACTGATTTTTCTTTTACTGAACAATAAAAACATTGACAGCTAATCAGAAATAAAGTGGTCAGGCACTTAAAGCAGCAGATTATTTAACTGCAGCAACCACTTAAATAAACAATGTTATCATCCCTTTTCGTGGATGCCAATATATTTATTATTATTTATTGTTCTTGGAGTTAAATAGTGGGGCTTCAGGACAGGTTAGAGATGCTCTGTGTTAATGTATAGGAATACACTTACCCCTAACATAGATCTGGGACAGGATCCTAGAGTTTCTTCAGACAGCATCATTCTCCTTGCTCATCGAGAACCAGAGGTGCAGCTCCGCTTTGAATTTGTGTTTGAGGAACTGGTACCATGACTGCAAACATAGAGGGTAAAATCAAATCAGATCAAAAGGAAAAGCTCCAATTCTAAAATTGTATATAAACAGAAATGACCAACTTCTGATCATTAGAACTTCGGAGATATCTTACACTTGTAAGGTCTTTTCACATAATGTAATGTAATGTCTGAAAAGTAACTTACATAGCCATTTCCTTCCAGATTCATAAGGAATGGAATATTTCACAAGAAAAACCTGCACATATTCTGCATTGGCAGGGTACCTAAAAGACAAAATTAAAACAGTTTGCCATAAAAAAACAAGATGTAAACAACATTTAATTTGTTTTTATTACTTATCAGTACCATAAACACTTCAAATGTTCACAAGTGAAGCAAGGGTGAACAAATTACAAATAAGTTCACATAACTGACTTACATGTGTTTTATTATTGGAGGATTTCTGACGTGTCTTTATCGGAGTCTGGTCTGAGGAATTCTGGGAAAGAGGGAATGACAAAACCAGCATGCAGTGAATTCAACTTGAATTATTATAATTACCAATGTACCTATTAAGACATATTACTTAAAGTTATACTTGCATTTCTTTTGTTGAAGGCTACAGATGGCATTCCGTTGGTATTGGTTCGAGAGTAACCACCTCCATCTCACTAAATTTGTTGAATTGAATGTCTTGTTCTCATTATCCCCATCCACCTCATTATATGAATAAAAGGAAAGACAGTTGGAGGCTACATTTCAGCAACACAAATGAAATGTTTCATTTAATAAACATACATATAACATAATTCAGAGTCAAAAAGGCGCATTAAACGCATTAAAAGTGTGACACATTAAAAATACAAACCTCACGTAAGCGTGAAGCACCTCTCACATCTCATACAAACACGGTCAAATTAGTTTGAAAAATCAGAGAAACTGAATTAAGTCGTCTGTAGGTCTTAGTCGAGACTCAAGTTGTCGATATCAGGGCCACATAGAACGCGCTGTTATAATTGTTTTTCTATGTAAACATGCGATACACAGACATCTTTGAGCCCAAGAACTGTGCAGTTTTAAGACAGCACTGTAAGTTACAAGTCAAATTTATCATTAAAACAGCAACATAAAAATGCCATGGCTATTTTAACTTCACTTAAAGGGGCTATACGTAGAATAAAAAAAAACACAACTTGTTATTAGCAACACTGGTGGCCGCTAAGTGAACTGCAATTCACAACGCATGCGAGTTACAAAAATCAGGCTGTGAACGTACTGTTCTGATGACAAAATTTTCATAATGCGCACTGTACACATACCATAGTGTATGCATAACAAGTGAATAATGTAATAAATAAACAATGTATAATGTAATGGAACGTTAAATACAGGCATGCACTCACCAGTAAGGGACATTTCATCAGGCTGTGTAGCGCATTAATTTAGATGTGATTAAAATGACTGGAACTACAAGTACATTCAACTGTTTGAACGCACACCAGCCAATCAGAATAGAGTATTCAGACAGACTAACAGCATTGACACGAACCACAGTACAAGCTAAAATGTAGAACTTGAATATCATTTGACACACAGACACCGCATTAGATCATCTGTTAAATTAGTTGACTAACGGAATTGTAGTACACAGGCCTCCCAATCAATCTGGTCTGAGTAGTCTGACATTTTCACTCATTTAAACAGTATTTTAAGATTTTAGACAGTCTACATTGAAAAATTCAGACTTCACATCCTATGCCTAGGATGAATTATAAATCAGTGCTATAATGATTGTCTAATGGGGAAATTCCCTCATGTGGAAAAATGGCGCTTATTCGACAAAGTGCAACGGCAAACAAAATAGGGAACACGATTTGACTAGTGTCAAGCAACAAACAGAACTACATCACCTTCAACTAAAACAAGATCTCAAATGTAAAAATCATAAAAATGTTAAACGATTAACTGCCCGCATCCAAGTTTAAAAACACACAATCAAGATTAAGCATAATAATTGCGGTGTCTCATTTCGAAGGCTATGCCCTCCGGAGGTCGCTTTCAAAGGCTGCATACGTCATCGAGGCTGTCTCATTTCAGAAAAGCAAGTACTCCGAATGCAACCTTCGATTGCGACCTTCTTTCACAGAAATTCGGAGGATGCACGAGGTGTATCCTTTGCTGCTACAGATAACCCACAATTCTTGCCGTAAACAGTACATTGCTAGCAAGGTGAGAAATTGTTAATTTGTTTAACCCTCTGGAATTGTACATTTAGGGGTCACTTTCATATTATTCACTGTAGAAACTGAACGGAGACAATAATCTTATAATAATTTTATAATAAATTGATTTCTACAATTAGTTTTATGAATTAATGCTCAATATTTTAATCTTCATTTAACTAGCGTGAGCGCGCAACAATGCTATAAATGTGTTGGCATAGCAACGTGCTACTTCCTGTTTCCTTTTCCGCCCGTCCTATGAAGGCAGTCTCGTTTAATTCTGGGTTGAAGACACTCCGTATACGCATCCTTCAGAGGACACGACCTACAGAGGATGCAGCCTTCGAGATGAGACACAGCTAATGACTCTAAACCAGGGGTGTCCAAACTCGGTCCTGGAGGGCCGGTGTCCTGAAGAGTTTAGCTCCAACCCCAATTAAACACACCTGAACCAGCTAATCAAGCTCTTACTAGGCATACTAGAAACTTAAAAGCAGGTGTGTTGAGGCAAGTTAGAGCTAAACTCTGCAGGACACCGGCCCTCCAGGACCGAGTTCGGGCACCCCTGCTCTAAACAATGACGGTTAAAACAAAGTTCCAAATGCCAGAAGCCATTGTTCAGAAAATATGCATTTTACCTGCTTATTTTTGATCCGCATAAGGTTGCTGACAGTCGAGTGACTCCCACCGCGCTGCAGCCCCACTGTGTGATTAGAGGAGAGGTATCCTTCTGCCTGGCACGATTTCCTCTAGTTTGTATATTTAAAATCTTCATAGTTATCATAAATGTCCATTTATTTCAACAAAGAATGTACATTGACATTATATTATGATACGATATTAAAAGAAGTCATTTGTAAGGAAGGATGTAAGTCATATGGGACCAGATATAAAAGTTGCCTGGGTTGCACTGTTGTTGTTTTGTGTGCGGGGTTTTTTTGGGGGAGGAAAATTTAACTTCTTGTTAAAAGTTAATTCCTTTAACAAGACTACTTAAAAATTATAAAATGACTATAAAAGGTCATCTATTAAATAAACATGTATATTTTTGACATTTTGATAAATTTGCGATTGTTTGAACAGCATTTTTATTTGGAAAAATCATTCTTCAAAAAATTTAAATTTTATGGTTATTGACAGTTACAGGTTTGTCATGTTTTTTTTACATAGAACATGTACATTTTACGGTCTATTTCTGAAATTTTTCTGTAATTGTATTTCAAAAATACGGCCCTGTCCCAAATGGCAAAGTTCATGTGAACTTGTGGTCTTGTGGACTTAGAATAGCCACCGCATGCACGTGTCCGTTAAGTCCACGAGACCGTAGGGTGTCCCATTCGTCATTTTATCTTTCAAAGGGTGCTTGCGAGTGCCCCCTTTGCACCCCCTTAATATGACAAAACCTATGTATCCTTCATGTGCACTTCTGCTGAGCCCGCACTGAGGTGATCTCCACAGCAGACTTCTACCCATCAGTCATTATTGCGGCATTACATCACTAAAGTGTGCATTCAGAGGAAGTCCGCGAGGGTTTAGGGTGTGACTTGGGACAGAGAAATGGGCGTGGCAAAAGGTGGTGTGCCGAAAGGTGAATACTACAACAAAAATTAATCCCTAACAATTAGAAAGACTTTTATCCACACCCCCTACTTTTCGGCACGCCCTAATCTTTCGCCACACCCACTGCTCCAGCCTGCAGTTATCCCTACTTTGAAAAATTCTGTAAAAAAAAAATTTTATTTAAATTTTTTTTTTAACAGTGTGCGACTGCGAGAAAACACAACATTTTGTTGATCGCTTGGTTTCTATTTGGTTGCACTCAGTAGCCCTGCCCAGAGTGAAACCTCAATGGTCCAAAATCCTGCTACACATAACTGTATTATAGACGTGCATGTGTGGTTAAAAAGTACATAAATGTATGTTTTTTTTTAGAAAATGACCAATTGTTTCACTAGATAAGACCCCTATTCCTCGGTTGGGATCGTGTAGAGCCCTTTGAAGCTGCAATTTGGACCTTCAACCCGTTGACCACCATTGAAGTCCATTATATGGAGAAAAATCCTGAAATGTTTTCCTCAAAACCTTAATTTCTTTGCGACTAAAGACAGAAAGACATGAAAATCTTGGATGACATGGAGGTGAGTAAATTATCAGGAAATGTTTATTCTGGAAGTGAACTAATCCTTTAAACATTTAAATATGTTCTGATCTAGATGTTTGTCACATCGCACAGTGTTTTCACATTCAGAGTGAATAGGCAAACTGCTCATGGCTGGATCACAACAATACATTTTACACACATATAATGCAATGATGAATTTTAAAGGGGTCATATGATGCTTTTTTAAAGATCATTATTTTGTGTCAAATTATTATTATTATTTTTTTTATTAAATATTTTTAAAAGATCAGCATGGATGCATTAAATTGATCAAAAGTGACAGTAAAGACATTTAAAATGTTAGATTCACAGTAAAAAATGATATGATAAGTCATGTCAACATATGTTTTTCCATTACTTAAACTTACTGTGCGTTCACACCGCCGGCGGCGAGAGCGTCAAAGTGACCGGAAGACATTCATTTTCAATGTGAGCGGGCTCAAAATCAGTTGAAACAATTTCAACTGTTTTAAAAGTTATAAAAGATTCAACTTGATGTTTTAAGTCATTTTAATAAAATTTAAGTTGAAATGACTTGACTAAATTTGAGGCAGCGACTTGTTTTTAGTGTTTCGATTTCAAATGCTGTTCTTTTAAACTTTCTAGCAGTTAAAAAGATGCAGCACTGTTTTCAACATTGATAATAAAAAATAAGGCTGTAAAGCAATAAGGCAGTTTAAAATAAAATGATAAAAAAATAAACTAAACTAGACTAAATTGTCATGACATTTTCTCCTTGGCTCAGTTTGGACTGCAAAATGGACTAAAATTAGTTAATAAAAAGTAGCATGTGTGCAAACTGTCCTTTCACTGGGCAGAATTATGTCTATTAACCAGAGGAAAAGGTGTGTTTTGATAAGAAATTACAGTTCCATGTTGACCCAGAGATTCGGTCTTCAAGATTCAACAGGTATGCTCAATGTTATGAGCACATTCATCTCGTCCAAACAAACTAGATTCAAGGGACAGAGTGACTGAGTAAGAAAAGTCGGAGAGAGACAGAGAGAAATACAGACCAATTCCATTTTATGCACAACACCCAAAAATAGCCAATTGTGTGAAAGCTGCACTAAAAGCGCTCTTTCTTTTAGTCACTCTTCTGCACTGTTAAAAGCTT